CTCTCTCTCTCTCTCTCTCTCTCTCTCTCTCTCTCTCTCTCTCTCTCTCTCTCTCTCTCTCTCTCTCTCTCTCTCTCTCTCTCTCTCTCTCATATCTCTCTCTCTTTCTTTTTTTCTCCCTCACATCTCTCCCCCTCCAAAAACATGCCCCCCTCACTAAATTGATAGATTAAGATTTTGGGTGTTGGGGGGGGTCATTATTGTATTTATGAACTAATTGCCTCACTGACTGTACTAGATCTTGATTTCCTTTACCCAATCATACACTTGTTATTGCCCAGACTCAAACATTTAACTTGTTTCTGTTCCCAATCCTTGACTAGACTAGACTAGACTAGACTAGACTAGACTAGACTAGACTAGACTAGACTAGACTAGACTAGACTAGACTAGACTAGACTAGACTAGACTAGACTAGAACCAGAACAGAACAGAAGAGAACAGAACAGAAGAGAACAGAATAACAGAGTTGGAAGTGACCTTGTAGGTCTTCTAGTACATAAAAAGCCTTGTTTGCATCTATTTACATAAAATCAAAAGGAGGGAATCTTCCCTTCTTTAGGTCAATCCTTTTGCCCTGCAGAACAATAAGAAAAAATGTGCTTCAACAGAAAGGTGTCCCGGTCTGGTTCAAATGTACCTTTAGGAAATCCTCTAACACTCAACCCCAGCATCCGTGCACACCCACATGCTTTCCCATACACTCAACATCAAAAATGAAGCGTTCTATTTGGAAATTGCTTCCGGATTTTATGCTTGCAATGAAAAAAAAAATGAAACTTTCATTTTGTTTTTTGCTGTTTGTTGCTATAGAAATGACTAGCATATACTGTTGTGTAAAAGTAAAAAGTTGAGGTAATGTTATTTTCTACTGTGCTAAAGAGAGTTGGAAGTCAATGTCTTTTTCTTTCCTTTTCCCTCTATACAAGATATTTTCTCTTTTCCCCCTCCTCTCCAGTTTTCTATTACTTTTTAAAATTTCTCTTTGTATTTTATATTTTGATAAACTAATAAAATGTATTATAAAAAATAACAAACATCAAAAAGAAAGGGGAAAACACATTTATTATAACTGGGAGTCCATTTCTACCACTTAAAGAAATGACTAATTGGTGTGTTTATTATTTTATTTAAAAACATTAAAGTATCAAAAACCATTTGTTACAATTATTAATTTCTGGGCCACATAACCCAAATTTAAGTTATTATTTTATTTTGACATCATATGTTCTTTTGTATTCAGATCTGGTCTTAGGAAAATAATGTAACATTTGGGGAGAAAAATTAATAGCAACAGGCTAGCACTGGAAGCCAACATGGAGAAGACCTGCACGGCTACCATATACTTCCCCTTGGTGCTCAGGTAAGTGGGTACAAAGGATATCCAGACGCTACAGAAGACCATCATGCTGAAGGTGATCAACTTGGCTTCGTTGAAGGCCCCAGGTAGATTCCTGGCTAGGAAGGCCATTGTGAAGCAGATGACAGCCAGGAAGCTCATATAGCCAAGGGCAAGATAGAACATGGCAACAGAGCCTTCATTACATTGAAGGATGACCTCAGCAGATTCTGAATACATGTCCGATTTAGGGAATGGGGGAGAGGTGCCCAACCAGATACTGCAAAGGACAACTTGGACTCCAGAGCAAGAAAGGATGATAGAATTGGCCATGCTCTTCCCTAACCATCTCTGTACATTATTCCCTGGTTTTGTGGCCAAGAAGGCTAATACCACCATGACAGTTTTGGCCAAGACAGTAGAAATGGCAACTGTAAAGATGTTGCTGAATGCTGTTTGTTGGACAAGGCAAGTGGTTACTTTTGGTTGACCAATGAATAAGAATGAGGTCAAGAATGAAAACAGGAGGGAGATGAGGAGGATGTAGGAGAGATCACGATTGCTGGCTTTGACCAAGGGAGTTTCTTGAAATTTAATGAATATTCCAAAGACAAAAATGGTTGCCAAAGACAAGAACAAGGCAAGGGAAGCTAGCATGATCCCCAACATTTCTTGGTAGGATAGGAAAGTTTCCTTCTTAGGTATACAATCATTTCGGCTGAGGCTCGGATGCTGATCCGCTGGACATTTTGTGCATTGTTCAGCATCTGAAAAAGAGCAAGATTAATATCTATCATAAAGCAGATACTTCCATCAGATGCATACAGTAGCTGGAATGAAACTAGTGATGATATGGATGAATGTGTGTGGAGAAAGGAAGTTTGCAGAAATGCTTAGCAAGTTTAAATAATATAATGCAGAAGGACAATTGCCACATTTTAGAGGTGAAATCGAAAACATTTCACAGCCCTGCCACCAATGACCCATGGACAGACACTTGTTGGGAATTCCTGTACCAGACTAGTTCAAGCACAAGAAGGAATAAGGGAATATTTTAAGAAGAATGATATTTCACAATAAATTCAGCTTTTGGTCTTCTGAAAGGATTATTGAATTTGGATTTCCAAAAGATGGCCTCTGCTGAGTATTCTGCCTTTTTAATATTCCCCAAAATGTTTCTTTCTCTGGATTCTTCCCACAGGACAATGTGACCTGAACTGTCAGAGAGGGGAGGGAAAGTTTTACTCTTTTAACTATCTGTTTCCCGTCATTGCTTCAGAGTTAGCTTTCCTTCAAAACTTGACGGATTGTTTTTGCCTAATACAGTGAACATTGGAGTTCATCATGTCTCTAGTGTTTTGCTTGGTTGGGCTTATTCAGCCAGAATATGACAGAGAATGTCTACCATTTTTCATCAAAGAACAGGAAGGAAGGAAGGAGGGAAGGAAGGAAGAAAGGAAGGAAAGGAGGGGAAGGGAAGGGAGGGTTGGGAGCGAATGAAGAAGGAAGGAGGGAAGGAATAAATCATTGTTGGAATTGTTGGAATTGTGGCTGGACCTGTTAATAAAAGAAATCCAGGATTCTACTAATGCATTAGTTGATCAAGGAAAGTAGGAGAGGAGAGGAGAGAAAAGAAGGAAGAGGAGAGGAGAGGAAAAGGAGAAGAGAGGAGAACATCAGAAGTTCTCCATTTCTGCAGAGACACCAAGAAAAAATACCAGAGGTTCACCAATAAATAAGATGAAGAAAAAGAAATGCCATTGCTCTTTTAATCCCAATTCTTGATTAATCTCCTGTTTTTAATAGCCTGCTCCATATTTACAGTAAATCACCAGACTATTTCTTGTAAATCCCTATAAATTATACGTATTAAAAGAAATTATTTTTTAAAGTTAAGTTTAAAAACGCCTGTCAAAACATGCTTTCATGAAGAGGTCATAGGCCATGGTCTTCCCCAAAATGTTCCTTTTTTCTCTGGTATCACTAACCTTCCATGGTGGAGATGGTTCCTTCTGGACAAGGAACACAATTGTAGCAACAGATGGGTTTCCCTTCCAAAACCACTTTCATGAATCCAGGATGACAGCTTTCCACACACCTGGAAGTTGGTAGGCTCTGAAGAATGAAAGGAAGTACACCCAGATAATCAATGTATCTGTACCTGTATCTGTATCTGTATCTGTATCTGTATCTACATCTACATCTACATTTATAGCTATTTCATGAAAATTGAAGATCTTATTTTTTGTGACCAACTGAATAAAGATGATATTTGCACTGTTGAGAACTTGATCAGCTGACATGAATACTCAAAAGCAATAACAGAACCCGAAAACTGTAGTCCTGTTTTTTCCACATTTAGTAGAAATATTAGTTGCAGATTGTCAGCATTTGTACCTGTCCAATACTCCTCTGGTCAATGGTAACTTTGAAATCCTGAGTTGTCTGTTTTTCTAGACTTCCAGTTTTTGTTCTCTTGACAGATTTGTTTGGGAAAACAATCCAGTTCACAATGTCCAAGTCAGCCGTCAAATCTCCTTTCTCATCCAAATATACCCCATCTATGGAATTATTGTGAAACTGAGGGCTTTGAAGGAAAGGGTGAAGCTGGAAAGAAAAGGAAAAGAAGAGTTTAGAAAGGACATCAGAAGTATTTGTTTGTTTGTTTGTTTGTTTGTAACCCACCTTTATTATTTTTACAAATAACTCAAGGTGGCAAATATATGCAACACACCTTCCTTCTCCTATTTTTCTCACAAAAACAACCCTGAGAGTGAATTGGGCTGAGAGATTGACTAGACCAGGGGTAGTCAACCTTTTTATACCTACCACCCACTTTTGTATCTCTGTTAGTAGTAAAATTTTCTAACCGCCCACTGGTTCCACAGTAATGGTGATTTATAAAATAGGGAAGTAACTTTACTTTATAAAATTTATAAAGCAGAGTTACAGCAAGTTAAAGCATATCATAATAATTACTTACCAAATACTTTATGTCGGACTTTCGCTAAGTTTGGCAGAATAAATCTTTATAAAACAACTTACTGTAGTTAAATCTATCTTTTTATTTATACTTTGCATACATAGAAGCATGAAGTCTGATGAAATTGCATTTAATTAATTAAATTATTAATGAGATCCCTGAGGCTGATGCTGCAAAACTAAATACTGAATATCTGGCTCAATTTTTGTAAGGAACAAACGAAGGTCTCCTCTTTCGGAAATATTCAGGCGGTTTCTTTCTTTGGTCATAATATGATTAACAGCACTAAAGCCTGATTCCACAAGATATGAGGTAGGGAAAGGTATCAATAAACTGAATATCATTTTCCACATATTTGGATATAAGACAGGCATTTTTTTTACTTTGC